TCTGAAACTCAATGTTTGTCAAGCAAAAAATTGCTCTACAAAAGCCTTCAAATGGGATGCAGAGGTTTATCTTCTCTGGGTCACATGTGACCACCCAGTGATGCATTAAATGCTCTTCAATAAAATGTATTTAGATTTGAAAACAGTTGCCAAATAATGGCAAAATTCGTCGTCTTTTAATTTGCAGATGAAAGTTTTATATTTTAGACAGCTTTTGGAGATTTATTCGTGTTGTTTAACCCATGTGGGGTGGTCCTAAATCATTACCTATTAGCATGCTCTGATAGACTACATAATGTAATTATTCTCTCAGGACAGTCTAGCTGTGTAAGGCTAACTTGTAGAAACAAATTTTGCATTTTCCTGTGAGTGTTAGAACTAGAACCTCAGGCGTCAGCTTTAGTAGCGTGTAAGATGGTACATGGAAGGATTTAAATGAAAACTTATGTTTACCTCTCACGTTTAATTGCCTTCAGAAATGTATTGGGGTGTTCTGTTCAGAATGAATTTGTGGCACTGTCTCTAAATTCAGAATAGTCTGTTGGCATATTTTAATAGATGCATACTTTTGAAATAGAAAAGATGAGAAATTGGGAAACTTTAATGCATATGTAATAACAAAACAACCTTCCTGCCTCAAAAAAAAAAAAAAAGTTTCAGCCAGGTGAACTATGATCTAATTTTCCTCTCTAATAAAAACAAAATCGTAGCTCTTGAAGCATTATTCTTGGCTCTCAGCAGTTTAAAGGCATGCAAACATTACCATTTCAGCTCCGTTATACAGTTTAACTGGAGTGATTATGTCACAACGTAGCATGTTTGTTTTCCAGCTTTTTGTCTGTTTGTCCATCAAGACATTTTTGTAGAAGAAGTATCAGTGATTGTTGACTTTGGAGGTAGTGGAAGAAAAAATAACTACGGAAAAAAAGCAGACAGTATCATTGAAGTAGCTTGTGCTGCTGTCATAGCAGAATGAATACTCCTTTCAACAAATCTATAATTTGCAGAAGTTGCAAAAAGAAAATAGCCGTAAGGTGACTGTTAGCATACTTCAGTTCATCCTGCCAAGAAAGCTAACTTCATAAAGTCATTAAACCAGTGATTACATTTTAAAATATTATTCCCCAGCCATTTCTTCTTAGACTTTAAAATATAGTTGCTGTATATACTACCTTCTTTGTAATGTGAAAAACGGTAAAATACACTTATTTTTCATAAACTCCTAATTATTAACAGTGCTATTTGCGTTCCTATAGTTAAATTCATTTCAACACTTCCGTTATTAAAACTTCACTTTTAGGAGTTCATAATTTAGTTGTAATAAAAAATATATTCAGACTCTGAGGTCTCAAATATTGTTTTCTGATATTAGGAAATTTAGAGTATTTTTCTTAAAGGAGCTAAGTAACTTTGATTGCTTACTGTTCTTTGAGATAATCCAAAATAAAATATTTTCTGGTGTGAACTAAATAACTGTAATCATTTAAAAATTTAGGAAAAAAAAACACTGAGCATGTTGCGACTACTGCTGACTCAGATTCTGTGCCTGGTACAGAGAAAGACTATCTTGAACAGAAATTGTGCAAAATTATTGCTGTGTCTCTACACTTTTGCCATTCCATAAGTGCTATTGTAGCATCAGATGTGAAAAGTTATCATAGCCCTTAATAAGTTTATCATAGCCCTTGGGTGACTGAGCCCTGGAACAGGTTGCCCAGACAGGTTGTGGAGTCTCCTTCCTTGGAGACTTTCAAAACCTCACTGGACTCGGTCCTGGGCAACGTGCTCTAGGTGGCCCTGCTTGAGCAAGGGGGTTGGTCTGGATGATCTCCAGAGGTCCCTTCCAATCTTAACCGTCCTGTGATTCTGTGAATATCACAAACATTATCTGGAGTCCTGCTGTCCATGAGCTAAAACTCCACGGTGCTTTCTGTTGTCTCCCTCCCCATTGCAGCAAAAAATAAAAGACCTACTGACTTTAAGGCTGAAAGATTTTTCTGTAACGATAAATGCTATGGTGCTCAGAGGTGGTTTGTTTCTGTTGTACGGCTGCCTGAAATCCCCCTTCATCCTATAACGCAGCCACGCTAATGACTCAACAAGGCCTTCAGCTCCGGAAATTAAGGAATCGGGGCACGTTGCATATTAATGGTAACTCTGGGACAGTCAAATGAGACAGTTGGTTATAATACTAATTATAGCAGAGCGCCCATGTTGTGGTTTAAATGAGTCAATTATGTGTGTTTTAAAGCTATAAATACATCTTCCCCCCAACCCAGGCTGTGTGGTATGTAATTTTTTTTTAATTGCTTGGATACATATTTACCTGAGCATAGCCTGGTTTCCCAGGTAAATATGTGTGTACCAATGCAGAACTCATTATGGTCTGTATGGATAAATAATCCATATTTTATAACTGTACAGGAAGTAATTATTTTCCTATTTTGCCTTCTTTAAGCCAAAGAAATTAAATACTGTGGTTTCATTACTTAAAATAAAATAGATGCAAAATTCAAAGTAAAGTGCGAATAAAGTTTTCATTGTTTTGGTAGAAACTAAGAATATTATTCCAGATATTGATCTTATTTTTATCCCAGAATAACTCTGCTAAAGTAAACACTGTTATTCTGGATTTACTTAGATGCAAATGGGACGTGAATTTGGCCTAGTGTCCTTAATCTCCCTTATTTAATCGGGAAAGTCCTGTAAGTAGCTTGCACACAGTCTTTTCTTTACATGATGCTGTCGAGTGTTTGTCATTTGGAAAAAATAAGGTCTTTCAACTGCATGCAGAAATTAAAACACTTGAATTTTGTGGTAAGAAAATGAGTGTGTCTAATAGTTATGGTCCTATATATGTTAGACGGCTATGGCGTACATTCATGCTGCATACTTCTGTTGTTTTATACATTTGAAAAAGCTGTGTTGTGTTATCACCATGGTAAGATCATTTTTTGTAACACTTATAAACTTCCTAGGGCCAAAGTCAGCCTTGGCATAAATCCATTAACTGCAGTGGATTTACACCAGAGATGAATATTGGCTCGTTCTTGGTAAATTTATTTTTATCCAACTCTTTATATTTTGCGTTAGAAATATAAGTACCTTGTGTGCCCTCAAACGAATCGGGATAAGAAACAGTTTGGCTTCTGCCAAAAAACCAGAACTATCGTTTTTCACATTCTTACATTTTTCAAGTCAGCTTCTTAAGTAAGATTGTATTACGGTGCCTTCTGAATTGCTGAAGACTCTCCGGTCCCGGTGACTGGAAGGGCCAACTGAGTGTTTCAAGGAGCAAATCTGAAGCTCTTCGTGCAGCGCGTTTTGTGTTGTGTGTACCAGCTACAGTTAATGTTTTATATGCATGTGATTAGTGTGGAAAAAATTAATGCAGCGCAGTATTATGATTTATGGACTGAATCTTTTGCCCACTGAACACTTGCCAAAACGAAAATCTTCCCCCACCCCCCCACCCCAACCCCCCTTTGGATATTAGAAACAGCTACTGTTTTTGTTGATCTTTTTAACTTCTGAATAGGCCTATTTCAAGTCATAGCAGCATGGGAGCTCAGATTAATAATACACTTATTCAGCCAGTGATACTGAGTGAAACCATTGCTAGTGTGAGCGTGAAGGATAGGATTTCTTTAAATTATTTTCAGGTGCTTTAATGCATTTCTGAAAGGAGAATATAACAATATTTGAAAATAAATTAAATTTCTGCTCATTGATCGTGTTACAGGTGTGTATGAGTTTTAATAGCAAGATTTTTTTTTTTTTTAAGACATCTCCCTTTTTGAGATCGTCTGTTCTGTGTTGGGCTTGCATACAGTGCGTCCATCAGAGAGTGACGAGGATAAGAGCCAACAAATGATGATTAAATCTCGCCTTTTGGAGGATGGTTTGGACTCAAGAGGAAAAGGAGTATTTCATGCTGGGAAGCATCCTTTTCCACCCACTGACTCTATGCCATCGTCACGATGTTGCAAAAGTCATCGTGACACAGACAAAGGAGCAAATCCTGTAGCCTTCCCTCATTGAGTTGGGTTGGTCCTTGTTAGCCCCGGGGCTTGCTGAGCATCTCCTTGTGAAAGGTTGGTTTCTGGCCTTGTGCCGCCGAGTTGTGTGCAATCCAGCTTAATTTCCTTCAAGTCACCAGCACTGCGCTTGCTAAAGGGAGCTGAGTTGCAAACTGACGTGCTTAGTCCCTCCGAAAGAGATTTTTACCTTGACGACAGAATTTGAGGCATTTGGGGCCTTTAGAGGCCTTGCCGCTCGGGCTGTCATGACCGAGAAGAGGACAATTCACTGCTTCACGCTCCTTTGGTCACCTCCGATGCATCTGACGGCAACTCTGAGTCCTCTCTTTCTCCCGTTTGTATCCGAATGGCCGGGTCTGCTCACTCGATGTTTTCTCAGTCGCTTTATTAATAGAATCAGTGTTTCCTACTAATTTCTTTTCTTTCAAATGAAATATGAATATGCCTAACAAAGTCTTCATGTGGATATGGTTTGTACTAATGATAAGTCAAGTAAGGTGGAATTTCTCTCCCAAAATACTTAGGTAAGCTCTTTAAAATTAGTATTTGTTATTCTAAAAAATTTGGAGAGGGAACAGCTCGCCTTCCACAGTTGCAGATAAAATGGTATGGAAAGAATTTGGCATTTTTACATTGCCCGAGAGAATTATAAGTTCATTTTCAAGGCTAACATAGCGCAAGGAGGAAAGAGCGGTGTAGAAATGATCATTTTAAATATAAACAAAAAGCTTTTGCTTCAGATTTATCAAAAGTGTTTCAGTCTTTTTGTGAAATTGTTGCTCACTTTTTGGCTGACAGGAGCAGACTGAGTGACACCTTGGAGAGTCCCAGCTTGTGTTTTTAAGGTGATATATTTTGCTGTATGCTACTGTGCAGAATGTTACCCGAACTTATTTAAAAACCTAGTGAATACAATTTTTAACACAGAAACAGCCATCCTAATTTATGCATTTATTGTAGTTGCAGCAAGCAGCTGAAGTTTCCCAGCTGAGAGGAGCTCGAGTCATCTCTGCTGAAGATCTCCTGTTTTTAATGCGCAAAGATAAGGTATAGTAATAAGACAGAAATGTGACATTTCCCGTAGCAAGTGGCTTATCACCGTTGAATGTATTTGCTTAACTTGTAACAAAGAGGTCCATAATCATGAATGGCTTTGCTAAAAAGTATAGCTGCATTGCAATTGCATTATATTTTGCCTAGAGCAATAATTGCATGACATCATTGTAATTAATTCTCATTTTCTCCAGTAACTTCACTTACCGGTAGATTTCTTTCACTGCCTTTAAATTGGGTAATATACCTTAGAACTGAAAACAATTTCTTAGTAATAGTATAGATATGGATCCTAATCCCCTATAAGCTCTTCCTATCTATAGAAATCAGACATTCGGATGTCCTCCTGCTTAGGCAGGGTGCAGATGCAGGTGTGATGCTTGATGGTGTGACTATTAGATTTTCCTTTTTTAAGCTGTCAGTAAATCTTGTCTTGCTTTTCTTTTATAATTTTCTTCCTGTACTTTATATCATGAAAACCTCCAGATTTAGACATGATCTTACTTTCTCTGGGCAAGTAGAGCAAATGGTAGAATTTTGCAGGAGAACCCGAAAGCCAGTTTCTTCAAATTTTGAAATTATTTAAAAATACTTGTTGACCATTTTTTATCAGCAATATTTACTTTCCTTGTATCTTTCTTTTCTCTTTATGCCCCCCTTTTTTTTCTTTTTTCTTTTCCCCTCACTTTTCTTTCACCATTTGATAGGTGAAACCAAATGACAAAAACATCAAAATAAAGCAATCTTAACACAGGAAAAACAGCTGCAATTACTCTTTCTCATGTGATCAGTAAAGCTATGTTGAAAACAGTGGATGTCAAAGATCATGGAAGTTTGCATTTATAGGTTTGAATTTCCAAAATAAGTAATGATTTTGGAGTGCCGAAAAGAAGCCCGATTTCTGAATTTCTGCTTTCTGACAGTCAAACCCGTTACTGTCTCATAGTTGGCAACCAAAGTAATATGGAGCCCAAATAAAAAATTTTTAATGTGGAACTGGTACTGGGCTTGACAAACTATCCATGTACGGATGTTCAGCGGAATAAGGAGTTCTGAACATTGTAAAAGATACAATTACTGAATAATGTGTTATGCATTTGCATGTTTGTGTGCTATAAAGTTGGTCTAAATAAATGATGGCTATATATATGATATTAATTGATATCAATATATTTTTTTTCTCTTAGAAGAAGCTTAGAAGGCTACTTAAATACATGTTTTTTCGAGACTACAAATCTAAAATTGTCAAAGGCATAGAAGAAGATGACCTCATTGAAGGTAAAAAAAGAAAAAAAAACATAATTGGGGGAGGTTTGATATTTAGTAAATGCACTGAACAGCTCAGTGGAAATTACTAATATCTTATCTAGATAGTTTTAGACACCAAAATATTGACTTTATGGTAGTTCTGTTTTAAATATCTGCTTTTCAGTTTGAATTACTTCAAGATAAAGTATTTCCTTCTACCTTCCCAATGATAAGTGAAACCGTTTAATGTCAGAAGTTTGTTGAACTAAGAAATGGGTGCTGATTAAAAGGCTAATTGATTTCAGCATGTTTAATTTAAATGTGGCAGCCACTGTGTGCAAGGGAGGCATTCATTTGAGTGAGCATTTGTTAAATTATTATCAAAGCCTTTTGAGGTCTTATACAAAAATTTTTAAGACCCGTAATCTAAAGTAGTTTAATACTAGTATATGACCTGGGCTTATTTTCTGTGTTGTTCAACATTTCAGAGTTTGAATCTGTAGTGTAAAGAGCGTGAAACACTTTTGTTTCCCCATTCCATAATCAAGTTACAGATTTTGTAACAAATGCATGTAAACCCCAAAGCTCTTTGAATTACAAAAAGATATTAATCTGTGTCATATCATTTGCTGGTATAAAGTTATGCAACTGCAGCAAAATTTTGGTGATTTATGCCAATAGACGAATTATCATCTCATTTACAAACAGTTAAAACTTATCATAGCAAATATAAATCTTACTATATTTTTATTACAGTACATTGCGATGTCTATATGCCCCTTTTTGTATTCTTAACTTGTTTCCTTTCTCGAAGCTTTAAAAAATTTTTTTTCCCTTACAGTAAATTTTGTGTGTTTGGGTCCTCTGACTGTCTGTATTAATGTTACCTAAAAAGTGTACTTCTTGCTTTGACTTAGTCAATTTGGGAATACGTTTTTGTCAACTCATGTGAGATTTAATTTGCCTGTGGCATTTTATTTTCACAAAACTTGAAAGTGTATTGTTTCATGCAAGCAGTCTGGCAGAATAGCTTCCTACCTGACAGCTTCATTTTTTTTTTTTTTTAATGCTTGAGTTCGTGTAACTATTTAAAACAAATAAACACTTTTCATAAGTCATTTATGTGCTCATGAAATGCTTCCTAAGCAGAGTTCATCTGCTAACTGAAGATCATGTTTTAACTTTAGTAAATTAAGCCGTTAAATTTGTTTTGTGGATTTAGTGTCTTTATAGGTATTATTTTCCCCCTTAGAACAGCAGAGATCATCTCACCAGGGTTCTTTAGGCTTTGGCTGAGGGATGGCCCATCACCTGCAGTAAGAGCAGTAGAGATGCATCTTAAATTTTATGTATGGTTTGCCTTTAGGTTGTAGGTAATTAGGATGTTCAGATGTTGCTCATGCTTTCAGGAAAGTGTTTCCTCCGTGTATTCTATTACGCTCAGTGAGGTTTTTATAAAGATGCACATATTTTCTGCAACTCTATCCACTGTGGCTCCTTCAGTGAGAAGTAAGAGTGTATGAGCACTAGACACAACTATAGCAGGACATTCTCAATACTGCTGGGCTTGCAGCTGAGGGTGTCCCAAGCCACTTGCCTCGGTACTGATGTATATGACTTGCTGCAGCCTCTGGTAGACTAGATTGCTGCTGCAGCCCAGCAGTGACTTCACCTCAGACATGTATCACAGCTTGCCTGAGGAGGACAGCAAGAATAGGCCTTTCCTGTGAGTGCCTCCCCTTCTAAGCAATGCCCCTCTTCGGAGTTGGTTGATATGTGGGATAGCCAAATAACTTCAGTTTGTTGTTCTTTGTTCACTCTTGTGTAGACAAATTCAACAGTAACAACACCAACAAACGGCAGAAACTGGCTCAAGACTTTCTCAACTCCATTGACCAGACTGGAGAGCTCCTAGCCATGTTTGAAGATGATGAGATTGATGATGTTAAACAAGAGCGGATGGAGGTAATTCCTTTCTTTCATTGATACCCAGCTCCAGCAGAGAAAAATGTACGAGACTTCATACATCATGCTGGCCTGATGCTTTTTTCTTGCTGTATGTTAGATCAGTGTTACTTTTTTTTTTCCCCTTTTGCCCAGATGGTCTAAAGGAATCTTATTTTTGTATTTTTCCTGTTCCCTCAAATATTTCCTGATATCTAAGCAGGCATGCTGAGAAGGAAGATCATGCAAAGGTAGTTATGGATCTTTCTGTCTGTCATGTATTTGTATTTCCTTCCTGTAGAAAGTAGATTCAATTTAAAAGTATTTAACATACATTTTTCAAAAACTTTTTTTCCTTTTTTGTTATTCCTCTTGTTAAGAAAATCATACGTAGATGACAACAGATGGCTCTTTTCTTTTCATGTAACACAGCTTACAGAAAAAATGAAAAATACTCTGTGCCCACATGCTTCATTATACACTCTTCTACCTCTTCTTTTCGAGTCCTATTTTCTGATCTATATATACATGAAAGCTATGTCAACATAACAGAATGCAGTACCATATCACTCTTAACAGCAAGCTTGGGATGAGAAGCAATATAACTAGGCTAACATGAAAGTCTGTAGAACTAATGTGGTTTTGCTACCAGTATTAGCTCACTAAGGTTTAGCTATATTGGCACATGATACTGTGTCATAGGTAGTCTGCCATATAGACCTTATTATCCCTGTGTCCTCTCTTTTTATACCCTTTACACACAGAATCACAGACTGGTTGAGGTTGGAAGGGACCTCTGGAGATCATCTAGTCCAACCCCCCTGCTCAAGCAGGGTCACCTAGAGCACATTGCACAGGTTTGCGTCCAGGCAGATTTTGAGTATCTCCAGGGAAGGAGACTCCACCACCTCCCTGGGCAACCTGTTCCAGGGCTCTGTCACCCTCACAGTGAAGAAGTTTTTCCTCATGTTCAGATGGAACTTCCTATGTTGCAGTTTGTGCCCGTTGCCTCTTGTCCTGTCGCTGGGCACCCCTGAGAAGAGTCTGGCCCCATCCTCTTGACAGCTTCCCTTCACATACTTACACACATTGATCAGATACCCCCTGAGCCTTCTCTTCTCCAGGCTGAACATGCCCAGCTCCTTCAGCCTTTCTTCAGAGGAGAGATGCTCCAGTCCCCTCATCATCTTTGTAGCCCTCTGCTGGACTCGCTCCAGGAGCGCCATGTCACTCTTGTAGTGGGGAGCCCAGAACTGCACACAGTACTCCAGGTATGACCTCCCCAGGGCTGAGTAGAGGGGGGGGATCACCTCCCTTGACCTGGTGGCTTTCAGAGCTAGAAAGTGGGTGCTTGATATGATTAGGTGGCTTATGCGTTTGGTAACATTCATCTGTTCAATATTTGCCTGTTTGGTTCTCATTTCACTTTCAGGATTTCATGGAAAATTCTAAGTAAGAAATAACCAGACTTCCATCCTTCCCTAAATGTGCGTCTCATGTTTTCTTCTTTCTGGAGACCCTTTTCAGAACTGGGACATTCCCCGTCTTGTTTCCCCTTCCTTCTTGCATTAAAAGTGTTCAAAATCTAATCAGGAATCCTTCCTCTTTAAAAATTTGATTAGGAATGAATCCCATTCCTCCCCAGCTGAGAACCAGTGTCCTAGAGGAGTCATTGCCAACCACTCTTTGTGGTTGGAAATGGATGATTACTTTTCTTTTCTTTTCTACTTATTTATTAATTTATGTAAAATTTATGTTTATGTTTATACAAGCATACCCCTTGAGCTTTTATAGACAAAAATAAATATGATCATTGTTCTAAATAGATCTCCTATGACCTTACTTTCTGCTATTCTTTACCCTTCCTTCTGTCATTTTAGTTTTTTTTTTTTGTCTAAAAAAACTGCACAAGTTACTACAAGTATAAAGTCCACTTTCTCAGAGAAAGACATTTAACTTTCTGTTTTTCTGTCAAAGAATGTGCCCCCATAATCACATAGTTAACTTTCATCTCATCGCACTTTTTTCTTCTCACTAGATTCTAATTCAGGAACTATAAGATATGTATTTTTAAAAGTATTGGGTCTAATTTTTTTCTGTATTGCTCTACTTACATTAGATTTTGTGAACTCTTGACCTGTTTCCATGTTTAAAAAAAAAAAAAAATCAAGGCCAACTTGTTTTAGAATAAGAGCTTCATAAGTTGTATATAGGTAGGAAGTCAGTACTATGAATTTTCTCTCTTAATAGTTTTTAAATGACAAAAGCAACATTGCTTGAGATGTGCTACACCAAATGCTTAACATATTTTTGACTCTGTTTTCTTTTGGATTTTGTTGCCCGTTTGAGATGAGTAGAAAAGAATCAACGACGGTAGGAAATGTGATCCAATCCTAAAGGAAGAGTTATCAGTGGATGAGGGTAATCTAGGGTATCATGTTTTCTTTGTGCAGTAGATTATGTTTAATCCATGCTAAGTATTGGAGGAAATCCGATGATAGACATGTTAAAAATTCTAGCAATGTTCTTTAAGGAATTAGTGTACTTAAATCATGAACTGTGATCTAAAGGCAATGTTCCTTTTAGGTATCAATTACCTCAGAAATGTGTGGTTATCTTGGTTTGGACAACTGCAGATGATTTGGGTTCCACTTTGCCCTGGGCCAAAATCATGCTAAGTTGTCCAGAGCAGATGATAAACATATATTTCTGATGTCATTATGGGCTAAACAGGATATGATTGTTTAGCAGTATGGTTTCAGTTTTGATACAAAAGACAAATATTGTTTATACTCATTTCTTTTAGAACATTTTATAAAATTATAGCTAAAACTTAATGAGAACTCTTGTTCTTCTGTGAGTCTGTACCATATTTATGTCACTGAGGAGCAAGGAAAGCTCCAAGCCACTTTCAGGCGTTAATAGAGGGAACAACCATTTCTTCAGTTTAGTTTGAAATACGGCAGCTTTAGTGGATGTTTTACATAGAAGGGTCATGCTTCTAGGCATATGTATTGAAATTAGTGACTATATCCTGTGATTTTGATTTGAAGCAAGAGGACTATATCAATAAAAATAATCAACACTCTACAAATGAAAGCCAAATAATTTGAAAATGCATGTCAGAAATTAAGAACAAAATCTTAAGTTACTTTTTCATAATATATGATTATATTATCACTACGTTGTGATTCGACGACTCGTAATAAGAACTTCAATAGTAGCAATGAATAGCTGCAAAGCAGTCAACTGTACTGGTGAAAAAAACCCAAACTAGTGACTATCTCACTTCATTTTATATATATGTGTGTGTATATATATATGAATATATCCCAAGGTAGCAGTCAAACACCAATGACAGGCTCCTCCTCAGCATATGAACAATTATAGCTGGAATAAAATACTCTAGTTCATAGATACGATTGGACGATGCACAGCAAAAGAGAACTATCCCGATTATAGAAGTTGTCTTCATACCACATGATAGCGTCCTGAGAGTAATGCACATAACGGTGATTTCTCTGAACCCACTGTTTGATTGTACAGTTGAGGCCCTCCTTTCTGCTTCACGGTAGAACAAGCAGGGCTGGCATTGCTCAGGGATTTAATTTTTGTTCTACTGCCTCTGGTATGCCAGAGAATCCACGAGAAAAATGAAACAGGACAAAGGGTAGCAATTTTGCTTCTTCTATCTCTTAATCATTAAGAGGAGGGAATTAGGCCTCCTGTGGGATTTGGCTGAGTCAGAGCGCTGAGAAGGCATATGCACATTTAAGATTGTCACATTTTTCCGTATTTTGCCGTTCGAGGGAGAGAGATGGTCTTGATTGCATCTCTGTGTGTTGCTACTTTGAACCTCTCAGATGATCTGTACATAGTAAAATTAGCTGCAGGTTTGGCTGTAATAACGGTCACTGCAGTCTAAATGTGTGTATGCGAGAGAGAGCCACTATCAAATTTACCATGTTCTGTTATTAAAATCAGATGCAGCTATTTTAAAACTTCAGTCCACTTAACTGTAAAGCTGACTGGTGTCTCATTCTGTAAACGTCCGTTTTTTAATCACTTGTTTTTTTAGTGCTAATACCTCTCCCACTTGCAAGAAAAAAGTCTTCCCATCAGGAATCTGAACGGACATACAAAAGAGCACTTCGAGCATCACACCGTGAATGCGCTATTTCAGGTCTTATTCCCTTAGGTTTAGAAGGAACACCGTGCGTCTGTCACTCTGACTGCTAGTTTAGGGATATATTTCCAACACTCAGCTGTTATGTGGCAATAATTCAGTTGCAGCAGCTACCATAATGCTTTCATAGTACATTGCAAGTCTGAATAAACAGTGGAGGGAAAATAACTTTAGTAGAAGAATACAGTATCTTGAAAGTAGGGTAGGTGCCAGCAAAAGAAAGTTAAAACTACTTTCGAAAGGGATTGGCTGAAGTTTGCGGCTCTTTAATGCATATAGCCCCATGAATTGTTTTGTTAGGTATTTAAAACTTACAGTTACATATCACCATTCTTAGAAGTTCATTGTGGATGTGGTTTCCCCAACACTTACTAGTATATATGTCCATTAGTTGTAAATCCTACTGTGAACGATACAAATCTCACAGAAAGGAATGAGCTGCATGCAAAATACAATATCGTGCAATAAAGTGTAGGTGTGTTTGGAATACATCCTTTGCTTACATTAAGTTAAACTAATCTCATTTAATTCTGTACACAAACAAAATTAAATGTCACACGTTAGCTGATTGCCTAGACTACTTTTCTAGCTGATTGGTTGAATCAAACACTTTGGGTGCAGTTCGTTCCTACCCTTTTAGACCCCTATTTTGGGATACAAGGAATCATGCTCTAGAAGTGCCCTCTGTTTTGATCAGGGAAATAAAACAGATTAGGCATTTAGTCTGTGCTGATAGCAGTAGAACAGACAGTGATTGAGACGATTCCTTGGCCCTGGAACATGATCATCGATACTGTTAAAATGTTAGTTAGCCTCTGCTTGGAGGCTCAAAGGG